TCCGCGGGGGGGGCGGGGGGCGGCCCTGCCGGCAGACGGCGCGGGGCCTCGCCCGCGGCCTCCCGCCCCTCGGGCGCCACGCCCCCGCGGGCACCAGCGGGCGGGGCCACCGCTCGCGGGGGGCCCTGTCCGAGAATGCCCTTCGGCGGTGGGGGCGGCGCGGCGCGGCGGAGCGGAACGCGCGCGCGCTCCGCTCCGCCCCGCCGCTCTGACGGGCCGGCCGCGCGCGCGCCGTCGGCGGTGCGCGCGGGCGCGCGTGCGCCGTCGATCCGACGGAGCGGCCCTGCGAGGGCAGCGCGGGCTGGCCGCGAAGGGGGCCGGGAGCGGGACGGCCGTCGGAGCCGGAGGGAGGGGCCCGCAGCTGCGGCGGCAGGCACGGGGCCCCGCCCGCGGGGTCCCCGCCAAGGAGTGTCCCGGTCCCTGCTGCCTTGTCCGTCGGGGTCTCGGCGGCGGCGTGCACGGGGCCCTTCCCACGGGGTCCCGCCCGCAGAGCCCCAGCCTTCGCAGCCACGGTGGCCCCCTCGAAGTGTTCGGGGTTCGCGCGCCAGCAGGTGCGCACGAGTGCGCCCTGGACGGGGACCCAGAGCGAGCCTGCCCATCGGGCGTGGGGTGAAGTAGCAGGCAACCCTTGCCAGCAGGTGCCAGCGCAGGACGCAAAACGCCACGAGTCCCAGCGGGATCGCTCCCCAGACATCCGGCGTCGCGGAAAGAAAACGGCGCGGTGCGCTTCCGCTGGCCCTGACTGAACCCCCCACCGGCCTGCGAGCCGCAGCCCCTGACCCACTCCGGAGGAAAACAAGCCTCTGATGGTCGCGCCCGGCCGCCTTCGCGGGCGGGCGCGAGCAAGGCGGCGGCGCTGCAGCGCAGAGAGGAGATAAGAAGAAAGAGGAAGGAGGAGGAAGAGGACGAGGACGAAGGGGGACATGACCGCTGCGCACAACGCGATGCGAGAGCGCACGGGGCGAGGACGCGGCCGCGGGATGCGCGAAGGCACCCCGAGCGAGGAGGGCGGGGAGGATCGCCTGCCACCTTGACCTCCTGCTCGAACAGGCCCATGACCTTGCGCGGCCGCGGCGAGGCGGGGCGGGCGCACCGTTTGCGGGAAAGGGGGGGGGGTCCCACACCGGGCGGCCGATCGCGGTCTCGCGGGGCCGGGTGGCGGGGAGAGCAAGCCTCTCTCAGCCGTGGTCTGAGGGGCAGGAGCAGCCCGCGGCCCAGTGGGGAGGCAGGTGGGGGGGGGGAAGGGGAAGGGGGGCGGAGAGGCTGGGGGCGGAGGGGAGGGCGGAGGGCAGGGGGGGGGCCGGGGAGAGGCACAGGGGGCCAGGGGAGGGGCGGGGAGGGCCCAGGCGGGTGGAGAGGGGGAGGAGGAACGGGGGGACCAGAACCCTAGCACCCTAGCATGCCAGGCAACGTCCAGCTAGATTCAAAACATAATGCTGACTTATATATATATATATATATATATATATATGTCCCCGAAGCGAGCTCGCGATCGCATGCCGACATTTTTAATGGGAAGAGGAAGAGGAAGAGGAGGAGGAGGAGGAGGGAGGAGGAGGAGGAGGAGAGAGGAGGAGGAGGGGGAGGAGGAGGATAAGGAGGAAGAGGAGGAGGAGGAGGAGGAGGAGGAGGAGGAGGAGGAGGAGACACCGTGTTAGAGCCACCGATCCGCGCGTTATCTGCTCCTCTCTCCTCCTCCTCCTCCTCCTCCTCCTCCTCCTCCTCCTCCTCCTCCTCCTCCTCCTCCTCCCCAGCAGCCCGCGAGGCCGCACGAGTCCACAAGTCGTGGCGGCCCCGAGACCTATCGGGCGTCTGCTGGGGAGCCCAGCAGGGCTCTCACAGCACGGCCCGAGGGGGGGCGGGGGGGGGGCCAGGCAGCTCGCAGATGCGGCACGAGACGGGACAGTATGCGCCAGCGGGCGACCAAAATCACGTGCCCGCGCGTCCGGCGGGGGCATGCGCAGGGGTCCAGGCGTGGGGCGTGGCGCCGAGACAAGATGTCGGCGAGACGAATGCCACAAGGCTCTGTCGCTCACCACTCTCGTCGATGAACGGATTCGTTTATTCGTTTGGGGATATCGGGTCGATTGGTAGCCATGGTAGCCACACGGTATGTGTAGCACCCCTCAGTTGCGGATAAGAGTGAGTGGGCGGGTATATCATACAGACTCCCATCGATACCACCGAATAGAGCTCCGCGGCATCCTCAATGGTGGTAGGATCGCTGTGCACGTCCATACTCGTGTCATATCGCAACCAACAAACGTGCTGAACTGATTGCGCACCGGCCAGGGTCAGCCATTCGAGAACCGGTGCTGATAGGGCGAACAAATCGTTGTATAGGCCCATAGCCAATACACCATCTTTGTCGCCGCCCGAGCGTTGACATGTTCCCTGGTGGAAGTGTGCCGCACTTGGACACATCCATCCTGCATGTAAGACGGACGCGCGCCACTACTGCAATGCACTATCCAAATGCGGCCCCCATGGTCGTGAGTCAGACTGGCCATGACTGAAACTGAGGACTTCAACCCTGACAGATGTGCATGGTAGATCGAATCCGTGTCGGAATTTGGATTTGACGCAGGTAAGGCGCACATGAAAAGCATGAACAAGCTGTGGTGTGAGTAGTCGAGATGGCGGCGCAGTGGACCCTGGGAGCTGCACTGCAGGGAGGCTGGGAGCGTTGCGTTCAAGTTGTCAACGCCATCCTAGACCACTTCCAGGGCACTGGCGAAAAAAATATGGGACAGCGAGGAGGCGCCATCTGTACAACCGTCGCATTGTGGTCGGCAGAGCGTCTGCAGACCGGATAACGCAGCTCTGGTGGATCTATTCCTGTTACCAGTCGGTCGCCGAGGCAGACCGAATGCAGAAATGCGCCCAGACGCTGAGCAAACCGCAGCGCACCTGCGGAGGCAAATGATGCAGCAGGACGCATGGTGGTACCGGCCCCGTGGGAGCCGAAGCAATGTCGCGGTGCAGGAGACGGTACTGTTGTGACGTCGCAGCGCGGCAGAGGCAGTTCCCGCACGCGCGCTTGGGCAAGCCGGGACACGGCACTGCGAATCGTCCGGCTGGAGACGGCGAAGGGCACGAGATCGGATCGGATCGGATCCGATGCCCGCGACAGAGCTGCCAAGCAGCTGCTGCTGGGGGCGCGTGGTGGCCAGTCGTGCCACCACGGGCCACACGCCCGCACGTCGCGGGCAACGTGGAACGGATCGTGGCCCATCTGGCGACTCAGGGCAAGGAGGAGCAAGGCCGCCCACGGCGACGGCACGACCCAAAACTGGACCGACGACAACCGAACACCGACAGCAAGGCCGACGGGCCACAGGCAGCCTCAGGGGGGCGCAATGCGCGCGCCCACGACGCGAAAACATACCGAGCCCGACAAAAAACCGAGCGCAGCCGACGGCGACGCGGCCGAGCCGGCCGGACCGCGGGCACCCTCGGACAGAGCAGGATGGGCAGTCCACGAAAATTCCTCTGTGAGGAGAGACCGGCTGGGGGGGCGAAGCAGCTAGAGGCCCCTGACCCAAGTTGCCCAGCAGGTGGCTCGAGTGTAAACAGGAACAGGCTCAGGAAACCAGCAGCCATGGGACATAAAGGCGGGAAAACCTTGGAAGGAAACAGGGGAGAGGGGGGAAAGGAGGAGAAGAAGAACCTCCTCCTCCTCCTCATCCTCACACCATCTCATCATCATAATCATACTCATGCTTATCATGCTGATCATCATCATCATCATCATCATCATCATCATCATCATCATCATCATCATCATCATCATCATCATCATCATCCTCATCATCATCATCATCATCATCAGCAGCAGCAGCATCATCATCATCATCATCGTAATCATGATCATCATCATCATCATGATCATCATCATCATCACCATCATCATCATCATCATCATCATCACTATCACCATCACCATCATCATCATCACCATCATCATCATCATCGTGATCATCGTCATCATCAATATCATCAGCATCAGCATCAGCAGCATCATCACCATCACCATCATCATCACCATCCCCATCGCCATCATCATCATCATCAGCATCATCATCCTCAACCTCAACCCCTCTTCCTTATAAATAACTTCTCCCTGTCGCACCCCGAGACGGGTCGATATGGCTGGCTGGGCACTTTCTCACCATTTATGATCCTGAAGCTTGAAATTTGAAACATATTCACCGAAGGAGGGCGGGTTGTTTTCAAAATGTGACTCTCGCCTTAGCGACGCGCACATTCGTCTTCAAAGTTTGCAAAAGTTTAACATATAGAGTGCGGGTTGTTTTCAGAATGTGGCTCTCCCCTTAGCGCCGCGCACGTTCGTACCAACAGCTCGCAAGAGCTTCACGGATGGAGGGCGGTTGCTTTTCAAAATATGGCTCTCGCCTTAGCGCCGTGCACATTCATCTTGAAAGTTTGCAGCAAGAGCTTCACGGGTTTAGGGCAGTTCCTTTTCAAAAGAGCTGCTTCAAGGATTCTTATGACTGCCGTCCCAAAAACGGTGTTCTGACACGATTTAGGAATGACAGGGCGCGCAAGTCACGTTGACGTCCCAGAAACCTTTTCTGGCACGAGTTAGGACCGTCAGGTCGTAACAGTGACGTTGATTCGCGACGCTGAAGACCCAGGAATGGTGCTTTGGCACGGTCGAAGATTTTCAAGCTGGTCCTCATCCTCCTCCTCCTCCTCATCCTCCTCCTCCTCCTCCTCCTCCTCCTCCTCCTCGTCACCCTCGTCCTCACCCTCGTCCTCGTCCCTGTCCTCGTCCTTGTCCTCATCATCCTCATCCTCATCCTTATCCTCCTCCTCCTCCTCTTCAGCCCCCTTCCTCCTCCTCATCCCCGTCTCCTCCTCCTCGTCCTCGGCGCGACCGCTGACTGGAGCCACGCGAGCGCGCGCGCACCACAGGCCGAGCGCGCGCGCACCACCGGCCGCGCGCGCGCAGCCCGCGCGGCTCTAAGTCGAGCGGCCCAGTCCACCTTGGCCTCGGTGGTGCCGCCGTTCACCTGGCCCGGCCGCGCTCCGGGGGGAGAGGACGACGACGACGACGACGACGACGACGACGACGACGACGACGACGACGACGACGACGACGACGACGACGACGACGACGGCGGCGGCGGCGGCGGCGGCGGCGGTGGCGGCGACGGCGGCGGCGGCGGCGGCGGCGGCGACGGCGTAGAGGGGTGGGGGTAAAGCAATATGTTTTCTCACAGCGCTGTTTGCTTCGACTCCTGGAGGGTCGAGACCCATTCCAGCTGGTAGGGCTCGAAGAGGGCTTCAAACAGTGGTACTGCTGCATCGATGGGCCTTCCGTGGTCTGCGTTCCGACTTGGGACCCACGTCGACAGAATGCGAATGGAAACGCGACATCACGGGCAAGGAGGGGGAGAGGGATTGAGCGAAGGGATCCCTATCGTCTCATCTCCTTTCCGCAGCCCTTTTGGGTCAGGTCCAACACCGACAAACGGCGACGGTTCTACCAGAATCACCAGACTGGCGCTTGAGAAGACAACCAGGGGCCTGTCGCTTGCGATGGAGGGATTGAGCGAAGGGAGGAGTTGACAAAGTGACTGAGAAATGGAGCGAGCGAGGCTGCTGCAATTCACGCCGAATCCGGGCCCACCAGGAGCGCACCGGTGCAGTCCGATTCATCAGTGTTCGCTGGCGGAGGAATGACGAACGCGGGCCCGAGCGGGCTTCGAAAAGTAATGTCTGCAGCATGCGGTAACCAACAATTCACCCATTAGGCTCGTTCGGCTCCCCAGACAGTGCTTGCACTAATGGGCTCTTACCTGATTGGAATGGAACTGGGAAAGATGTTTGTTGTCTCGATATTGCTGTTTTTGCGGACTGGTGCCATGCCATGTTACTCGATTGCTGGCGCCCCGTTGCTGTATTGAGTGTCGCGGTTGCTGGTTCTTGCACTGGTGCCCCATGGGTGGTACTCTATGGCTACTTGCCTACACTGCCGGCAGTGTCACGATTGCTCGATACTGCAACGGTGCCCTATGGGTGGTGCTCAATGGCTGGTGCCATGTGGGAAATGTCGCGGTGGCTCGTACTTGCTCTGGCGCCCCATGGCTGGCTGCGATTGTTTGTTTTTGCCTTGGGTTCCTATGGGTGCTGCTCAATGGCTGGTGCCACAGGAGCATTGGTCGTCGCGACTGCTTGTTCTTACCCTGGAGCCCTATGGGTGGTGCTCTAGACGCCAGCCAGCGTATCGAGGAAAGCGGCTGGCAGCGGAGACGAGCCCAACCGAATGTAGCGAATTTCGCAAACCCCCTTTCTTTTTCTCCCCCCCACGCAGGCAGCAGAGCTACAGTCCGAGAACCCATGTTTAGAAATGGATTCCGCGCTCGCGTCGGGCCCGGCCCCCAAGATGCCTCCAAAAGGCTCCCAGGAAGCTCCCAGGAGGCCCCAAGAGTGCCCCAAGAATGCCCCCAGAGGCTCCCAAGGTGTCCCCTCCTCCTCCTTCTCCATCTCCTCCTCCTCTCCTCCTCCTCCTCCTCATCCTCCTACTCCTCCTCCTCCTCCTCCTCCTCCTCCTCCTCCTCCTCCTCCTACTCCTCCTCTTATTCTTATTATGAGTACTATTAGCACTAGTATTCTTATCAGTATTAGTATTATTATTACTAGTATTATTATTATTATCCTTCGTATGCTTAATAGTATCATTGTTGTGATTTATGTTAGTTGTCTTGTTACTCGTACGATTAGGCTGAATCGTATTACTCTTGTTAGTATTACTAGTACTAGTAGTAGTGGTACGATTAGTCGATTTTTTACTACCCCATCTATTAGTATGAACCGTACACATATACTTGTGATTAGTATTAGTATTCGTCTTAGTATTCTTATCAATATTAACACTCTTACGAATAGTGTTAAACCTGTTTACAGTCATACCATCAGTCTTAATAACATTATCATTGTTCCTCCTCCTCCTCCTCCTCCTCCTCCTCCTCCTCCTCCTCCTCCTCTTCCTCCTGATCTCCCCGCCATCATCCCCCAAGTGTTCCCCGAAGGGTTTCCACAACGGCTGGGGGAACACATGGTCCGATAGCTTGGCAGAGCGCTTGCCACAACGCTCGGCCACATGGGCGATTCCAAGAGGCAGGGGGTAGCGGTGATTCGCCGTAGGCGTCTTCGATTAGGGGTCAGAAAGTCGCAAGGTGACCCTAGCACGAGGGCACCGCCGCCCAGGCACGCCAAGCGTCGCAATATCCGAAATGACGTGTTGGCCCACGCCGGCTCGGCGTGCGCGCAGCGCCCAATGTGACTGCATGAGGCTGTCTTGGATATGATGTGCACGCAAGTGCCACCTTTGAAAAGTGCGCACGCCCGTTTCCAACTGATTTTCACGGGCTGCCAAGCAAACATGACGGGAGACGGGGTCGCGAGACAGAGAATGTGATAGAGAGAGAGAGGGAAGCCTGGATCTCCTTGATGACGGCTTTCTTCGCCCCGATCTTCACCTGGGCGGTGGGGAAGGCTCCTGCCGCGACGCCAGCTCTGATTTCTGACGCCGCGCGAATCGCCCGACCTCCAACGACACCACGACTCGAATGCCGCCGAAGGCTCCCTCGATCCGCTCTTCTGGATGCATCGCGGCCCGCCGATGGAGCCCACGAACGACGCACGCACCCAACCGCGTACGCGAGCAACGGCCCCCAGTCCGCGAGCCCGGCCCCGCGCTGCGCACGCTCGCGCCACCTGCACCCCCCGCCGCCGACGGCAAGCCCGTACACCACCCGCGTCGCTCCGTCGCTCCTGCAAAAGCTGCCCTCTGCGGCCCCGGGGGCCAGGAAGGGGCCCCCCTGTAGGGGGCCACATGCGAACCCTACCCCCACCCTCCCCCTCAGAAATCGTGGGGGGTAGGGGTAGGGTTCGCATGTAAGCCCCTACCCTGGGGAGCGCTCCCGCCCGAACGCCCGCACCGGCGCCGCCGCCGCGGCGAGGCGGCGCGGACCTGCAGCGGGGGCGGCGGGGGGCGCCAGCGCCGGAGGCTGCCGGGGGGGGGGGAGGCGCAGAGCGAGCGGGGCGCGGAGGAGGCCGGGTGCCGGCCGCCCCTCCGGGCGCGCGGGAAGAGAGGGGGGCAGGAAGGCAGGGGGGGGGGGGTCAGCGCAGCGCGGCCCCAGGCACGTGCGCGGCCCAGGAAGTGGAGGGCAGACACCCACAGAGCAGCCACCCCGACGCGCGAAGCCGTTGGCTGAACGCACTCCAAGAAGGAATCGAGCAGGGCAGGGCCGTTGAGCCAACGCCCAAGGCCGTTCGGTGAACGCCAAGTGTCGGGCCCGGGTGGCTCTTCCTCCCTTGAAGGAAGGGGGCCAGGGAACGTGTCGAAAGCAGCAGAGGAGGGGAGAGGGGGGCATGGTATCCGGGAGATGTCGCGGCCCTTGCCGCGTCAGCCACACGGCTGCTCCTCCGCGGGCCAGGCGCGTCGTCGCCGCAGCGGGCGGTGGGGCACACAGACTGCCGCGAGCCCAGGCGTTTCGCAGGCTGCGCGGGGCGGGCGGGCGCGCAGCGCAGGGGGGAGGCACCCCCACCGAAGCGGGGGGGCAGGCGAGACCAGCACGTGCAGGCTGTGCGGGGATGCTCGGGACCCGAGTCTCTGCACACGCGTTCGGCGGCAACTCATGGGAGCCTCCCATGCCACCTTGTCGGCTCTCGCAAATCGACGCTGAATCGACGCTGAGCGACGCTGAATCGACGCCAGTCGAGGCAGGCAGGGACGGAAGCGACGGAAAGGGAGGGGCGAGGAGCAAGGGCTGGGGCACGGGGCGTTGGGAGCGAGGGCGCAGGGACGAGGGCTGAGGCAGCAAGAAAAAACAATCACGCTTACCCGGGAGCCCCGCCTGCTTGGTTCAAGTCGTGTTGTGCGTTCGCTTGCCATGCCCTCTTCTGTGCGCAGTCCTGCGCTCTGAACCCTCGTCGCCAATGTTTCCCTGCTCGTTGCTTGAACCTCCTCCCTCCGCGCTCAGGGGCCACCCCCCGCGCGCCCACTCTCGTGTCGACAGACTGCCACGCCCGACCGTGCCGTGCGCCGTGGCCTGCACATGGCTGCCGCAGAGCTGAAGAAGGTTCGGCGGCAACTCATGGGAGCCTCCCATAACATCTTGTCGGCTCTTGCGAATCGACGCGAGTCGACGCCAGTCGACGCTCATCGACGCGAAACCGACGCGTGATCGACGCACACCGACGCTAGATCGGCGCTGTCTCCTCGACTCCCAGAACGCCGATCGACGCCAATCGATGCTGAAGACGGGAGTGCGAGGGCACTTCAGGCTCCCATGACTGGCGACCGAAACAACCGAAGAATGCGGGATGCGGAGAACCAGCGCGAGGCGCCCCCGAGGGGCCACGCCTCCGAGGCTCTCGAGAGCAGTGGGCGCGCCTCGCCCCCGCAGGGCCGGCTGGAGGCCCGTGGGAGCCGGCGGGAGAAGAGCACCGGCAGCCTCGCTGGCTGCAGCTCGGCGGAGGAGGCAGAGCCCCCCAGGAAAGTCCGCCCTGGAGTATCCCAGGTCTCCTGAGCCAGCCATGCGTCCGTCAGTCGCCCGTCCACCCATCCATCCGCCCGTCCGTCCCTCCGCGCAGCCGTCCGCCCACACGTCCACCACCCGACCCGTCCCCTCGCACCAGTCACCTCGCCCTCCTCCTCCTCCTCCTCCTACTCCTCCTCCTCCTCCTTCTCCTCCTCCTCCTCCTCCTCCTCCTCCTCCTGCTCCTCCTCATCCTCTTATTTTTGTTAGTTCGGCGCCCAGTAACGCAGCATCAGCACGGTCAGAGCGGACAGGGGGCGCAGGGCAAGGGGGAGAAAAGAGGGCCTCTCCTCCTGCTCGCTCGCGTTCTTCTGGCAGGAGGAGGAGGAGGAGGAGGAGGAGGAGGAGGAGGAGGAGGAGGAGGAGGGAGGAGGAGGAGGACGAAGGAGAGGACGAAGGAAGGGAGGAGGAGGAGGAGGAGGAGGAGGAGGAGGAAGAGGAAGGAGGAGGAGGAGGACGAAGAGGAGGAGGAGGAGGAGGAGGAGGAGGAAGAAGGAGAGGAGGGCGTCGCTGGACAACATCAGGAGATGACGATGTTGAAGGGAAATCGGGATGACTGACAGGAGTGACTCACTACCGCGCAAAGCTTCTGCGGGTCGATAGCACTTCGTGGTGATCATGCCCCCTTGACCTGGCCATCCCATGCCTGCGCACGCCCTTTGCTCGCCCGCATTCGCCCTCATCCACCTTCATTCCACCGCATTCGCCCTCTGCCTCCTGACACCGAATGTGTAATCACTTCTGATGGTTTTTCGGGGGGGCATGTTCTAGATTCTGGTGCCTATTTGGAAGGAAGGCCAGCGCTGCAGCGAGAGCACGACTCGGAACGAGCGGAAGCGCGAAAATGAGGCCAGCGCTGCAGCGGGAGCGCGACTCGGAACGAGCGGAAGCCCGAAAATGAGACCAGCGCTTCAGGGAGCGAACACCCAGTTCCCGGGAATCCTGTGTAAACAAAACAATACGCGGAGGGGGGCTTCCGCACGCCATCAGGGGAGAGAGGAGAGTAGTATTCATGTTGTGTGTATTGTGGGGGAGAAGGAGGAGGAGGAGGAGGAGGAGGACGCAGGACAACGGACGACGGACGACGGACGACTGACAACGGACGACGGACGGCGACGACGACGAGTGACGGACGACGACAACGACGACGACGACGACGACGACGACGACGACGACGACGACGACGACGACGACGACGACACAGATGAGCGACGAGGGGACGAGGCCGTCCTCTCAACCTCAAAAGAAAACGAGAGCCGGCGTGTCTCGCGCCTTGGAGACCTGCGTGTGGCAGATGGCCCTGATCACCTCGGCGAGCCCCCGCCGGCCAGCCGGGCGAGCCCCCGGCGGCGCCGAGCCACGGGACCTCCGAGTCCGCCCAGCAGCCAGCCAGAAAATTCAGTTCGTGTTCGCCCCAGGGCCCCTCTTGGGGCCGTTTTGGAGGGTCCTTTCGAGCCGTCTTGGAGGCCTCTCGGGCCGTCTTGGGGCCATCTTGGGCTGTTTCGGGGCCGTCCTGGGGGCGTCTCAGGCCATCTTGAACCGATCTTGAAGGTCACCCTGGAGCATCGGCAAGCCGAAAAGGTGGGAACGCTAAATCCCTCAAAAGTGGCTTTGGCCTCTCGGAGCTCTCTTGGGAGTCTTCCTGGGGTACTTTTGCGGCGTCTTTGAGGCTCCTTGGGCCACCTGGAGGCCGTTTTGGGCGTCTTGGAGCGATCCTGTGGCGACTCAGGGTTCTCTTTGATCGCGTCGGGGGCCTCCTGGGCCCTCCTGGCTCGTCTGGGGTTCCCCCCGAGAGCGAAGCTGGGGGGTAACGAAAAATGCGACCGGATGTCAGCGAGATGAAGACCCTGGGAATTAATAGTACAGTCTGGCGACCGATCCCACTGTATACCTGCGGATCGGTATCAAGAAACATGTAGATGTATATATGTATACATATATATATATATATATATACATGCAGACCTACATACATACATACATACATACATACATACATACATACATACATACATACATACATACATACATACATACATACATGCATACCTACATATATACATGTGTGTGTCGATCTCACTACGAAAATATGTCTCGAGATATGTCACACGGTCTCTCTCTCTATATATATATATACATATATATATATAGTTATATATATGTGTGTGTGCATACATATATACATATATATATGTCCATACATGTGCATATGTAAGGTACCTATACACATCGATCTCACTTTCAATCAGTAAATTTATCATCGGGACAACCGTCGGAATGACAATTGGGACAAACATCGAGACAACCATCGAGACGGCCATCTGGACAACCATCGGGACAACCATCGGGATAACCTCTCTCTCGGTCGATATTTCTCTCGAGCTTGCGATCTGTGAGATAAATGTACATATCGATATATGCACACATAGCTACCTACCCATTGAATTACCGATACAGCGATGTCAATATCCATATATCGACGTAGCCATGTACATGTGTATGTATGCGTACCTGACAAGTAGAACAACATATACATATATATACATACAGATATACCCTTATCCCCATATCTATACATAATATTATTTATATACATATATCACCAGCTATGGAGCAATATCACTGCCTAGCGATGTGTCGATCTATATCGGCCCCACGATAGATCTATCGACATCGCTAACAATAAGTCAGTCGACCCATCGGGACAACCACCCAGCCACACGTCGGGACAGCCATCGCGACGACCGTCGGGACAACCGCGGGACTACCTTGGGACAGCAGCGGGACAACCACGGGGCAACCGCCGGACAACGGCAGGCCCCGTCCGCCAACCGGACGGGACGAGAGCCTGCTGCTCCGGCGTCGCCCTCGCAGCGGCGCGAGCACGCGGCGCGGTCACTCCCCTCGCCCGCGCACGCAGGAGTCGCCCCCGCCTGCACGCACGGCACGAACACGAAACCGACACCGATGCGCGGATGGAGTGTCTCCGTTTCACTTCGATCTCGCGCGCCAACGTCCGACTCTCAGCATTTCTTGTTATCCGCCACCGTGCCCTTGAGGCACGAGCTGGAGTGTCCTCGGGTCCGTGGCCCAGTCCCTCTTGAGCCTCAGTCCTCAGCCCGGAAGATTCTTCACCACCAAGGGTCTGGACCAGAAGTTGATAAACCTCCCGGGGCTCGTCGCGTGACACCTGGGGCCTGGGGCGTCTTGCCGCATGACTTCTTCGGGCTCAAGAGAGCCCCAGGACGGGCCAAGCGCGCCCCAGGAGGCCCCCCAGACGGTCCAAGAGGGCCCCGAGCCGCCGAGAGATCGCCCCAGGACGCCCGAGATGGCAGCAAGACGGCCAGGGATGCCCCCACGGCGGCCGCAGGGGCCTCCAAGAGGCCTCCCGAGAGGACCCCACGAGGCAAAACGTCATCGATTGTCCTTCGGCTTTGGAGTGATGCTGGCGTCCTCGCCTTTGCGGCCTCCCAACGCTCCAGGACGGCGGCCCAGGAGGCCGCCAGGATCGCCCCAAGACGGCCCGAGAGGGGGCCGCAAAAAGGCCCAAGAGGGCGCCCCAGGCGGCCCCAAGAGGGGGCCCCGACGGGGGACCCGAACAGACATTTCGAGCCCTCGGCCCCGGGAGGCTCGCAGGGCAGAAGGCGTTCAAGAGGCCACCACGAGGCCGCAAAGAGGCCCCAAGAGGCCGCCCCCAAGAGGCTCCCAAGAGGCCCCCAAGAGGCTCCCAAGAGGCCCCAAAACTGCCCTCGAGGGGATCCCGAGAGCGCCCCGAAGAGACCTCAAAAAAACATGCCTGAGGGCTCTGACCCACAACCCAGGCACGATGGCAGGGTGTGCCGAATGCTATTAGATGTCTCTCTCTCTCTCTCTCTCTCGTCCTCTCCCCAGGCTTAGGGCAGATTAATGCTGGCTGGTCTCTCGTGTTCCCTCTCTTTTTTTCTCTCTCTCTCTCTCTCTCTCTCTCTCTCTCTCTCTCTCTCTCTCGTTTTCTCTCTCTCTCTCTCTCTCTCTCTCTTTCTCTCGTTTTATATCACGATCTCTCTCGTTCTCTCTCTCTCTCTCTCTCTCTCTCGCGTTTTCGTTCCATCCCTCTCTCTCTCTCTCTCTCTCGTTCTCTCTTTCTTCACCTCGCCATCGCCCTGTCCTGTTCCCCCGAACCCGAGCCTCGAATCGGGGGACGCCAGCTATGCTGATATCCACACCGATCCTGGCCAGACCCATCCTAGGCCCACTATGGGTATAGCCAGGATCAATGTACGGTAGGTTCGTGCGGCGTCAGCACGCGCAAGGGTTTTGACACCGCGTCGATCGTTCAACCTTGAATCGATCGCGGCCCCGATCGTTCAAGGTTGAATTATGTCGGGTCCAGTGGCATTACCGCGTCCCTCAGAGCGCCTTCGCTGGCGTCGCAGGCGCGCCAACGCCACATGAACCTACCGTGTGAGACATGTGGATGGCCACCTCGAGCCGAGCACCAGCTGGACCGTAGCAACTGAGCCGCCCGCTTGGCAGTACTTCTTGGCGCGCGAGATCTCCGCCTCCATGGGTTTCGCGTCCCCGTTCTTGGAAGCGTCCGCCCACTTCTTGCCGTACTTGGTGAAGGCCTGCTCGGAAAAGGCGGGGAGGGGAAGACAACCCGGACAGCCCGGCGTCGCGGAAATCCTCCCTTTCCTCCTCCTCCTCCTCCTCCTCCTCCTCCTCCTCTTCCTCCTCCTCCTCCTCCTCCTCCTCCTCCTCCTCCTCCTCCTCCTCCTCCTCCTCCTCCTCCTCCTCCTCCTCCTCCTCCTCCTCCTCCTCCTCGTGTTCCTCGTCGTCCTCCTCCTCCTCATCCTCATCCTCCCTCTCCTCCTCCCCATCCTCCTCCGATTCCTCATCCATCCTCCTCCTCCTCCTCTTGCGGTATGACGGTTTCTCCGGCCCTGCGTGCTCCTCTGCATGCTCCCCCACCTCCCTCATCCAGGCAACTCGTCGGGGCATCGTTGCTGGATGGGCTGGTGCGGTTACTTTTTTTGGCTCGCGGCTCCAAGGCGAGGGACAGGGAGCGGGATCAACGTTCGGGGCGCGGAATGGAGCAGATTGGCCTCGGAGGCGTACGCACGTGCCAGGGACAGAATGACCCTCACTGAGACGCATACAGCGTCGGCAGGTGACCGGCCAGACATCCCGGCAGGTGGGGACGCAGGCGCGGCGACCGGCGGCGGAACGGGGGGGAGAAGTCGCCCTGTCGGCGCCAAGCTCCAGCCGAACCACCATTCGGAGGCGAGGCCAGGACGGACGGCGCGGCACTGTAGGCTGCAGGCAGGACGAGGGTCCAAGTGGCCACTGGCCGAGCGAAGCCAACGAGCGTGCACACAGAAACGGGCCGCCCAAGACCACGGCGGGGGGGAGGGGGAGGGGGCAAAAGCGAGCGACGGCCAAAGGCTCTCTGCAGCACCACGAGTGAACGATGGTGCGGCAAAAAGGGGGGCCTGACTCATCATGGCTCACTGAAGCAGAGGTGTAGCTGAAACCCGTCATAGCGCCATCCAGAAGAGGAAGACCACTGGTGTGCGTGCACGAGGTTGAGCCACCTCCAGCCTGTAGCCAGTGCGTGCACATCGTATCCGACTCTCGCGGTTGGTGCGGTTACGCGAAGCGTGTAGAACAACACGACGGCCGACTCTCTCCACGGACTCGGCGTCTGCGGACCGTGGCTGGACGTCGGGGCGGTCAGAAACGAGGCGGAACGAAAAACACCACACCTCGGAGGTGGGGTCTCAGAGAACTCCAGGGCCCGAACAACCGCCGGCAGAGCCACGGCGCCGGAGGCCCAGCTGGAAGAGGGGAGGCCAGAAGAGCACGGGAGCACGGGCACTGCGCTGGACGCCCAGGAGCAGTCGGGAGCGTCCAGGAGGGCGCCCAAGAGGCTGGGGGGTCGCACACCAGGACGAGAGGCACGCGCGCGGACGAGGGAGTGAAAGAAGAAGAGGGGGCCGTGGAATCTGGGGAGAGATCGTGGCCCCGTCCATGATACCCGCCCTCACTCTTCGTCTCCCTCCTCCTGGAAGCCCCCGAAACATGGGCACTGCATGGACGTCCTCCTCCTCCTCCTCCTCCTCCTCCTCCTCCTCCTCCTCCTCCTCCTCCTCCTCCTCCTCCTCCTCCTCCTCCTCCTCCTCCTGCTCGGCGCCTCCGGCGCCGCTGCCGGCGCGCTCCGCACGCAGGGGAGGAGTGTGGCGAGAGAGAGAGTTCCGCGCCGGCGGGGAGACCGCCCGCGGGCATCCGAGGAGTGTGCTCGCGTGCGCGCGTCCCCGTCCGCATGGCCAAGTGCTGCCCTCCCCTCGGGGCCCCCCCCGCGCGCGGGCGCCGCTGGGGACTTCGGCCGCCGCACTCGACCTGCTTCGCCGCGGCCGCCCCAAAACGCGCGTGTGCTGCCTCCTCGCTCGCACGGCGTCCGCGAGAGGAGGGGGCGTGGGCGCGTGCCCGCCCCCCCCGGGCGAGCGGGCAGGAGGGCGAGGAGGCCGGCGCGGCGAGGCCGAGGCGGAGGGAGGTCGAGGGGCAGCAGCAGCAGGCCGAGGAGAGGGCGGGCACGACGGCGGCAGCAAGGCGGAGGAGGACAGAGAAGGAGCAGGCGAACGTGGGGCAGCAGCCAGGGACCGACCACAACGATGTTTGAAACGAAACGTCGTTCACAACGAGCAGCGAAGCGAGGCCTAACGGTCCAAACGGACGTTTAAACGAAGCCGGTGCCAAACGAAAACGAACGACGAACCGGGGCGGTCAAAACAACAACGACCAACGAAACGAAACAACAACGAAAAACGAAACGAAAAACACAAGGACCCGAACCACGCTAAACAGCGTTGTGGTCGATCCTTGGTAGTAGCAGCACCAGCAGCACGATGAGTACCGCAGTCGAAAAACAACAGGCATTCTAAGAAGTCGTCTTGGACGCCGCCGTCCAAGGCAGCGTCCGTCGCACTGCCCCCGTAAGCGCGCCGCCAAGTCGAGATTGCTCGCTTGAGGTGCCTCCTCCTCTGCACCAGCATCCACAATCACCCATCCTAATGATGATCATCCGCTTCATCCTCATCATCGTCATCATTATTATTATTATCATCATCGTCAGCAGCAGCATCAGCATCAGCATCATCATCACCATCATCGTCATCATCATCATCACCATCATCATCATCATCAGCAGCAGCATCATCATTGTCATCCTCATTACAAGAAAAAATACTGATAGTGACATTCATAGAAATGATATATATATATATATATATATAAAAAAAAAAAAAAAAAAAAAAAAAAAAAAAAAAAAAAAAAAAAAAAAAAAAAAAAAAAAAAAAAAAAAAAAAAAAAACTAATCATATGAATAAGAATAATAATGACAAAAATCATAATAAACATCATCATCAGCAGCATCACCATCATCAGCAGCAGCATCATCATCATAACCACTACCAGCATCATCTGAATCCGCATGCCAATCACTCATCATGATACTGGTCATGACCATGATCGTCGACACCATCAGCATGACCACTAACACCAGCATCATCATCATCATCATCATCATCATCATCATCCAAATCATCAGCAGCAGCATCGTCAGCATCAGCATCACCATCGTCATCATCAGCAGCAGCAGCGTCAACATCAGCATCAGCATCGTCAGCATCATCATCATCATCATCGTCATCAAAATCACCTTTCTCATCGTCACCACCATCATCATCACGACAATCACCATCAACATCATAACGATCATCATCAGCATCATCGTCATCATCATATTCATCTCGATCGTCATGTTCAACCCCAGCATCATCATCATCATCGCCTTGATCTTCATCGTTGTCGTCATCACCACCATCATCAGCAGCAGGGTCGTCATCGTCATCATTACCATCATCGTCATCATCATCGCCTTCTTCCTTCTCATCATCGCCGGCAGCATCATAGTCATCATCAGCAGCATCAGCATCAGCATCATTATCTTCATCATCATCGGCATCATCAGACTTGCGATCATCATCAGCATTATCATCGTCGTCATCCCCCCCGTCGTCATCATCATGATCAGAACCGGCATCATCATCATGATCACCACCATCAGCATTATTATCGTCATCCGCATTATCATCATCAGAAGCATCGTCATCGTCAGCATCAGAATCGCCATCATCATCATCATCATCATCGTCATCATCATCAGCATCATCGTAGTCGCCTTCGTCGTCATCATCACCATCATGAACATCGTCATCAGCATCATCATAATCAGCAGCAGCGTCATCATCAGCATCAGCATCAGCATCCTCATCATCATCATCATCATCATCATCATCATCATCATCACCATCATCATCATCACCATCATTTCGTCCCTCTTCCTTGTTGCTCTGCGCAGACGTGGGCCTGTCTGAGTAAAAAGCTGAGCGTTGGGCCTGAAGGGAAGGCAGGCGGGGTACGACAGCTGACGCAGCTGAGAGCAGAACTCAGGAGCGGCGTCGGGCAACAGCCACATCTCCCTTCACTTCTGCAACGGAAACCTGGCTTTCGCTCTGTTCAGGCTCACTGGAATGAGGCGCTTGAAGTTCGACTGATTGACCGATGCCGCTATCGTTTGGATTCACGCTTCGGCCAGGCAGACAACGAGGGCACGGTGGCATACATTGCTGCTACGTGGCGACTGACACCATGCGCTGCCAGACAGAAGCCGGCTTAGTACTTAAGGGCAGGCGGGACGCGCAGGGGCCCCCAAGCAGCACCCGTACCTCACGGCATCTGTGCTCCGAGAGGGCCAAAGGAGGCAGAGCAGCTGAAGAGCGGGTGGCTTGCCCGGCCGCGGCGGGCGGGGTCACGGCGCACGGGAGGCGCCCCTGGGCGTACCGAGTGAAGCACACCACTGGAAGAACAAGAGGAACCAGTTGGGTAAGTCAGGAAAATCAGAGAATGGCAGCAGAGTACTGATGGGCGCTGAGGCAGCGCCGAGAGCCGCCCTGAAGGCCGCCGCGTGACGGTGGGAGCTGACGGAGCTCCGATCGCCGGGCTGCACGCTGGGCTTTGACGGTGAGCCCGAAACGCCAGGAGGCATATTGCTGGCCATGAGCTTGCAGCGCTAGAAAAGCACGGTATTCCTGAGTGGCCGGCGCGCGCAAGGGGTTGGGACGAGGTGGCTTCTCGCCAAGGCCTTGCCCCCTCTTCGAGGCTTGGAGAGCGGCTTCCTCGAGCGGCGAGACGGCGGTTCAAAGGCCGGGATGCCTTCACGGAGGGCCTCTGGGCGCCCGTCCGGCACAGAAACGACGGCCCTTCTTCGAAAGGGGGATCTCGCTCGCCAGGAAGGCAGGCCCAACAGGTCTGGTATTTCTGGGGGGGAGGGCTTCTTGACGTGAAAAAATAGCTTACAGGGGCGTCTGAGGAGGGGACTCGGGACGGGACGGGAGGGTGGACCTGCAGAATCGACCATGCATCTTTGGCGTACTCCGGTCCTCCTCCTCCTCCCCTCCTCCTCCTCCTCCTCCTCCTCCTCCTCCTCCTCCTCCTCCTCCTCCTCCTCCTCCTCCTCCTCCTCCCCCTCATCCTCCTCCTCCTCCTATTCCTCCTCCTCCTCCTCCCTCATCCTCCTCCTCCTATTCCTCCTCCTCCTTCCCTGCCCATCTCCTCCTCGCAGGGCCTTCTTCTTGGACTTGTGCCACGCCTTGTAGAAGCGCCTCCTGCACTCCTCGCTCAGGTGGCCGGCCCACACGGTAGTCAGCGCGCGGAGGCCTGCGCCAGCCGTTTGCCAGAGCTACAAAGTCTTCGTCGTGATCGTCGTCGTCGTCAAAAATTTTAGAATCGTCAAAGCTGTCACCGACGTCCTCGGAGTGGTTGAATTCGTCGCTGCGATCGTTGTCATGGAAGGAGAATCAAGAGGACAAGGAGAGTGAGGAGTGAAAGGAAGAAGCACAGGGACAGCATGCTCCTCTTCCTCGTCCTCCTCCTCCTCATCTTCCTCCTCTTCCTCTCCCCAGCATCCCTCCTCTTACTCTTCACTCCTTCTTCGTCCTTTGCCTCCTCTCTTCTCCTCCCTTCCTCCTCATCCTCCTCCTGCGCCTCCTCATCCGCCTCCTCCTCCTCCGTCCTTTCCATACTTCCTTCTCCTCTTCCCCCCCCTTCCTCTCCCCTCCAAGAACCCATCCGCCTAAGCAAATTGAGCGGCTTGCCCAACGTCACTCCTCCTTCCGTGTTCACCGCCTCTCCATCATTATCATAATAACCATCATCATCATCATCATCATCATCATCATCATCATCATCATCATCATCATCATCATCATCATCATCATCAGAATCGTCATCGTCATCGTCATCATCATTATCATCATACTTCTCATCCTCATCCTCATTATCATGATCAGCATCATCATCAGCAGCGTGATCATCATCACCACCACCACC